AATATTACAAATTATAAATTAAGTAATAAAATAATATGATCGTGAGAGTAAAATTTATTAAGTTAAATATAGAACTTATTATAATATTTGATCGTTTGTACTTTATAATAATGTCTTCTATCAAAAATACAAAATATATAATAATGACCAATGAAATAAGAAAATTATTGTGTGAAAAAAAAGCAAAAAATCCAAATATGACTCAAAATGAACTAGTTGATTGGATACAAAATGAACATAATTTCAAAATAACACAAGGAACAGTTTCTAATACTTTAAAAAGATCTGATGAATATCTAAAAAATGATAATTTAAATAAGCAAGCAAAGCGTTACAAATTGGTTAAATATCCTAATATTGAAAAAGCATTATTTGAATAGTTTTTAGTACAACAAGAGCATATAAATATTAGTGGAGATCTTTTAAAAGAAAATGCAGCAATCTTTATGAAACTATTATACCCTTCTAATACTTCCGAATTTAAGTTTTCTAATGGATGGTTAGAGGCTTTTAAAAATCAACATAATATAAAATCATTTCGACAATTTGGTGAAAGTGGATCAGTAGATATAATTAGTATTAAAGAATATCTTTCACAATTATGAATAGAACTGGATTAATATAAATGGAAGAATATTTATAATATGAATGAAACTGATCTTTTTTTTAGAATGCAAGCAGATCATTCTTTAGCTACAAAACAATTGGAAGGTCACAAACAAAACAAAGAAAAAATAACAGTTGCTATTTGTTGTAATGGAGATGAATCACATAAATTACCTCTTTGGATAATTGGCAAATTCAATAATCCTCAATGTTTTAAAAATATAAACTGGGAAAATTTAAGATGCATTTATTATGCTAATAGTTGTGCTTGGATGACAGGTTTGCTTTTTTTAAAATGGTTAGCATGGTTTGATCGAAAAATGGAAAAAAGAAAAGTTTTACTTATTTTAGATAATTGTCAAGCTCATTCCAAGCATTTTGACGAATTAAAAAATACCAAGGTTATTTTTCTTCCTCCTAATACTACCAGCAAAATTCAACTGTATAATGCAGGAATCATTCAATCTTTAAAGGCTTATTATTGAAAATGGTTTAATCACAAGCTTTTACATAGCATTGAAGTTGAAAAAAAATCTGAACCAGAAAAAATCAATATATTAGAGGGCATTAAGATGATAGTATCAGCTTGATCTTTTGATCTTAAACTCAAATGTATTGAAAATTGTTTTTTGCATTGTAAGATTTAAATGTTAAGAGAAGAGGATCCAGAAGTAGATCTTAATTTATTGGAAAATAAAAAAGTTATTATGGAGCTTCAAAATCAAATTCAACATTTAGAATATAAAAATCCAATGAATATTAATAATTTTTTTGATGTTCCCAAAGAAAGAATAGTATCAGATATATTGACTGACAAAGATATTGTAACTATTGTACAAGAAAATATCAACGAAGAGGAACAAGAAGATGATAGTATAGAGTTAGAAAACATTAGTCCACGAAATGTATTAGAAATACTAGGTGTAATTGAAACTTTTTGATTAAAGCAAACTGAAAATCATGAAGAATTTGTAAATATGACTCGAAAGATACAAAATATTGTTCATCAAAAAATGTTAACTGGGATGAAACAAACTACTCTTCAAGAATTTTTTATCAAATAGTAAAAAGGGAATTAAGTAGATAATATTTTTTTTAAATGAAAATAGATTTTTTTTATTTTTATAATAAATTTATTATAACTTGTATCATGAATTGCAGAAATAATAAAAATTATAAAATCAAGAATTGCATAGTTAATAACATCCAATTAGTAAAAGATAGCACACTTTCACATTTACGTTGACCTTTTACATTCTCTTATTTTATCCTGTATTTGCCGAAACACTTATACATAACACATTCCCGATGGTGACTTGTGATCCATCATCTACATTGATCATATACCATAATAAAATGTTGATCAAGTATGATGCAATCACCATATCCTTTTGCGACGAGATAACTCAAAAAAGCTAACAAACATGTCAAGACCAATAGAAGGAACCAAGACCTGAACTAGAAAATATAAGTTTGGAGGAAGGCTAGAAGATGATTCTCGACTTTGAATCAAACATTATAATGGAGCCATCAGCTGCAGAAATTAGACGGACAACAAAAAGCTAAAGGAAATAGGTAAGTATTTAGGAGGTGTTGTGCTAAAATGGTACAAAAACTGCCGAGATCAACTTGCCTGCTAGAACAACAAATGCAATCAGAAATGGAGCTTCGTACTGACGTTTGTACAGCATTTCAAAATGCTGAAGCAATGTTGCCGGTAGCAAGAAGAAGTGGAAAATATTAAGCAAAACGAAAATGAAACAGTAGCAAAATATGCTCATAGGTTTGCGGAGTTACTCGAGAAGCTTTACCCAAAAGACAATTACATCAAAGAAGCGACGCATTGGTTGCTGGTACTTGAATTAAGGGAAAACCTACTGGTACAACCGACCATTAGAAATGCGACTACGTCAGGAAAAGTATTCAAGGAAGTCATGAAAATTGAATGGGAAGTGGACCAAGCAAGAGAGCTAGAAATTTGCATCCAAAGACTAATAAAACAAGTACAAGAAATAGAGATGAAGTGAAACAAACCTGCCATTCTCGCTAAATGTAACAAATTCTGCCTATGTTATTGGTAAATACTTATTAAATATCTTTTATAGTCTTTTTACTACTTAATAG